CTGTGCGGGTGGTGATCCCCTGGGGCAGGTTGCCCCGAGAAGCTGTGGCTGCCCCATCCCTGGAGGTGTTCAAGGCCAGGTTGGACGGGGCTTGGAGCAACCTGGGCTGGGGGGAGGTGGCCCTGCCCAGGGCAGGGGGGGGAACGAGGTGATCTTCAAGGTCCCTTCCAACCTAAACCATTCTATAACTCTTATGATTTTTGAAGGCTCAAAAGGGGCCAGGGGAAGAGTGAAAAAAGGTGGTTTTGAGGCTGAAGTGGGCAGGAAGGTGCCGAGCCCCAAGGTTTGTGTGGCAATGAAAGCGATGCCAAGGGACAGTGAGGACAGGCGGGTATCGACACTGTCTGTTCTCCAAATACCTTCATCCTCCTGACTTTCATCCACCTCCCGCTGCGGGAGGTGGGACAGTGGGCATCTGCTGGCCACCGTGCCTTGGGTGTAGCCGTCTGGGGACACCTGTGGTCCCATGGTGAGTCCTGTCCCCTCGCAGGCACAGGGATTGTGCTGTTTGAGTTGCTTCAAAACGTGGCCTTCCCCTGCAGCAGGGGAGGACAAGCGCTAGGGAGGTCGGAAAATGGGTCACCGCAATAGGGTTTCATCAAAGCTGGGACATAACCATCATCGGGGCGTTTAAGAGCCAGTCCAGCATCTCTTGGGAAGGTCTTAAGTGCTGCTCAGCTGTCCGGCTGCAAACTCTGCCGGCGCCTTGTTCTTCATCAGTACTGGCAGGAACGTATAAGCAGGGACATGGGCTGTCATCATTTTCTTTCCTTTCTCCACTTCCCCTCCCTGCCCAATACTTCCAGTATTTGCGAGCGGGTGACGCCCCGGCTGTCCCACGCCAACTCGGCGGTGGTGCTCTCGGCGGTGAAGGTGCTGATGAAGTTCATGGAGATGCTGTCGAAGGACCTGGATTATTACGGCACGCTGCTAAAGAAGCTGGCCCCGCCGCTGGTCACCCTGCTCTCCGCAGAACCTGAGCTGCAGTACGTGGCTCTCCGCAACATCAACCTCATCGTGCAGAAGAGGTGAGGGCCTCGGTGCGACAGGAGGGGACAGCCCCTCACGGGCTTTCCTGCTCCTCTGCGGGCGCTGCTTCTCAACCCTTCAAACCCTCTGACCGCAGCGGTGTCGGGGCTTTGCTGACACAACCCATCGTATGGATTTTTTTTTTTTTTCTTCTCTAATATTTAAAATCCAAGGGTTGAGGAGAGAGCATCAGGTGAGGCAACGGGTAGGGAGCTAAGCTGGGTTCTCCAGGAGGGTTTTATTTTAATTTATTGGTTTTTTGGCAAAAAGCTGAGACTTTAGTTTAGTCATTAAGTATCTAGTGAGGAATTTCTGTGAGATTGGCTTGTTTCTAGGTAGTCGTCCTCTTTGAATAAGCGCTGAGAGTCCTTTTGTCCCCTTTGCTGATCTAAAATTCCTGGTGGACAGGAGGTGGCCGAGGCCCCAACACGTGTGCCCCGAGCAGAACTGGCCAGGTGGAGAGCCGTGCTCCGCGGTGACGGCCGGAGTCAGATGATTTGCCGTCCCACCAGTTATCGCCATGGTCGTCTATTAAAAATAGCAGCAGCTTCTGGGAGAAGTGAAAAACAATTAACGTCCCTGGGAGCGGGACCGTGGAAGGCAGGTCGGCCCCTTGGAGCTGGACCTGACCCGTCCCTTCCCTGGCTTAGAGAGAGGATGATCTGGCGAGAAAACTCCAGCCCTGAGATGTCCCTTCCAACCTTGGCGAGACAAACGGCCCCTGTTGTCTTGCGCCTGGGCGTTGTTTGCGGCAAGGTTGTGCCCTGTCCCCTGCGTGCCAGCGAAGGGGAGCCAAGGGATGGAGTCCTGGGGAGGGATAATCGTGGCATCTTGGATTTCTTGGCGTTGAACAGACCCTCCCAAAACCTTGAGCCTCATCCTCCTGGTCCAAAGCTGTTCCGGGTTTCCCCACCTTATGTCCTTGGTGTCCTCAAGCCCTCGCCAGCCCGGCTCCAGCCTCGGCCGGGGAATGATGATTCATGCTTGTAGCTGGTTAATGGAATAACGAATTTGCATGGACTCGGGGGCGTTAGCTGGCTGCGGGGTCAGGTGAATGAATCCCCATCCGTCTCCTGACCAACGTGCGGCTTTCTGGAGAGGACAACTGCCTTTCTGTACTTCTTTGCCTGCTGGTCGCTGCCTGGGGGAGAGCCTGGAGGTGGGAGCAGAGCTCAGATCTTGCTTCTTGCGCTAGAGAATAACAGTATCGGGTGTCCAGAAAGCTCTGGAGAAACCCATTGTTTCTGGAAGATTTTTTGATGTCTCTCTTTGCGGTCAAAGCGAAGGAGCGTGTCTCTCCCTTAATCGCTGCCTCTCGCTGTCCTCCAGGCCCGAGATCCTGAAGCACGAGATGAAGGTGTTCTTTGTGAAGTACAACGACCCCATCTACGTCAAACTGGAGAAGCTGGACATCATGATCCGCCTGGCTTCCCAGGCCAACATCGCTCAGGTCAGGCTCTGCCCGACGGTGCCGCTGAGCTGGTTGGGCACCAAAGGGGACGTGAAGGGAGCTCCTTCAGCCCCACAGGCAGGGGGGTCGCCCAAAAAACCCTCGTGCCAGTTTTGCGGGATGCTGGTGGGAGCAGCTGTACCACCCGGTCTCCTTCTGCTGGCTCACCGCCCGGCTTTTCTGGTGGCTTTTTCTTGCTGCTGAGCTCTCGCCGTCTTGTCCCCTCCGGCAGGTGCTGGCAGAGCTGAAGGAATACGCCACGGAGGTGGACGTGGACTTTGTAAGGAAGGCGGTTCGAGCCATCGGCCGCTGCGCCATCAAGGTGGAGGTGAGGGCTGGGTCGCTTCGGGTGCTGACAGCAGCTGTGGCTGGGCAAGGCATCGCTCCCCAGCGCGCGTTGGGTGAGCTGGAGGTCATCCCACCCCAGGACGTGGCTGCTGCCCTGACTAACTAAAGCCTTCGTGGGCTTGGGGGTGATTGGAGCATCTCTCTGCTGAGGAAAGGCTGAGGGACGTGGGGCTTTTCAGTCTGGAGAAGAGAAGACTGAGGGGGGATCTTATCCGTGCTGATAAATCCTTCAAGGGAGGTGCCGGGGGGATCCAGCAGCAGAGCACTCGCGGCTGAGCATCCCCCGGGGATGCATCCTGCCCATGCTCCAGCTCGGGCACTGCCATGACAGTGGTTGGACTTGATGATCCTAAAGGTCTGCCCAGAGAGGTGGGGGAGTCTCCCCCTCTGGAGCCATCCCAAACCCGCCTGGCCGCCGTCCTGTGCCACTGCTGGAGGTGCCCCTGCTCTGGCAGGGGGTGGGATGGTGGGGCTCCAGAGGGCCCTTCCCACCCTCACCAGTCTGGGATGCTGGGGGTGAGCCACAGTTGTTCCACGGTGGATGTACGGGGTGGAAGGAGGGTGTTTCATCCCCTTACCTGTTGCCGCCGGAGCTGTTTTAGCATCCCTGCCTGCCCCGCGCTCTGTTGCAGAGCCAGCTGCCTCCAGCTGTGCCTGATGTGTTAATGCAGCGGATGCTCCAAGTGGTTTGTGCGGGGGCTGGAGGGGGCTAATCCCTTACCGAGGGGGACCGGGAGGCTTTGCTCCCCCTCGGGACGGGGGGTAATTTGAAGAAGGGGATTATTAAAAAAAAAAACCTCGCTGTGGCTCCGCGTGGCCCAGGTACGGGCAGGCTCACAGGCGAGGTCGTGTGCCTTCGCGCCAGCTGATGCGGCGCCGGGTTTAGCGCAGAGCATCCTCAATAATCCGAGACAAACCCGCTCGACACCGGCGAGCCGGGCACTAGGACAGAGATGCGCTGGAGCTGATTCAGGCTTCGCTTCCTGCCAGGAGCTGTGCTGCTCCGGCTCTGCCCTTAGAGCCATCCCTCCCCTCTGCAGCGAAGCCGCCTCCTCCCGGGGCGGGGGGATTTCTTACCGCTGGTTTTTCCCCTAATAACGCTGAGCCGTGTGGTTGGGCAGATCCAAATTAAAGCAAGGCGCCGGACGCTGCTGCCCCGGCAAGCCGAGGTTTGGGCTCGCTGCCGCGCTCGTGCACCCCATGGTCCGAAATGCATCCCGTGGGAGCAGGGAGAGAGCGGCGTGGGGGGAGAGGAGGCTCTGGGAGCGTGCAAGAGGGGTGAGGAGGAGCCAAACCTGGATGGGAAGGGGAGCCCGCGCTGGTGTGACCCCTGGTTTGGTCTGGGTTGGCTTTGGCGGAGGTCCGGAGGGGATGAGGCGGGAAGGAAGGGCAGCAGAGGTTTTGGGATGGGGACACGAGCGTCGCTGCTGACTGACCGAGTCTCTCCGACAGCAATCGGCCGAGCGCTGTGTCAGCACCCTGCTCGACCTCATCCAGACCAAAGTCAACTACGTGGTGCAGGAGGCCATTGTCGTCATCAAGGACATCTTCCGCAAGTACCCCAACAAGTGCGTGGCAGCTGCCCGTCAGCCTCAGAACCTCGGGTGGATGTTCCCGGTCTAAACGGGCTCTTTCTACCCCTCTATTCTTGGGGGGAGGGGGCTACAAAGACCCAGACATGGGCGAGGGATGGGCTGCTGCGCCCTCCTGGTAGGACGGTCGGTGGTGAAGCCACCTGGAGCCTCCCTGCAGTGAAGGTGGCTTTGGGTTTTTTTGCCGTTTGAGGTTGTGATCACCGGTCAGCGCTGCCCCAAGAGTTAAGCTGCAGGCAGGAAAGCCATCCCCAACCCAGGGGACGTCCTCAGCCCCACGACGGCCACCCCAAATCCAGACACCCAAATAGACATGAGCCACCAGAGGTTTTGAGGTCCCTCAAGTCAGCGTAAACCATCTCTGGCTCTTAATTCAGCGCTCCTGATGCCGGAGCGAGGGCAGCAGGAGAAGGGGAATGTTCCAGCTAAGCCAGGGTGAATAGGCAACTGCGTGATCAGGAAGTCACGTCCTAATAGTGCTAATATAGACTAATGAGCTGAACTAATAACGACTCTGCACGAATAGCCAGGGACTCAGGGCCGCTGCAGAGAGGAGGGAGAGCAGACGAGCGGGGCTGAGAAGTTAATTCAGTAGCGGGGCTGGCGAGCGGGGGAACGTGCTCTGGGACCCGAGGGGGATCGGTGTGGGTGGTGTCACGCTGTGCCACAGCCCAGGGGAGAGGGGACAGCCCCAGGCAGGTGGCAGGGGCTCTTGCGGGCGCCCTTAGCGATGTCCTGGTTCTGCTGAGGGTGGATGGGGACGTGGTTTGGAGGTAGAGCGGAGCTGGGACTCGCGTTTCTTGCTTTCGGTGAACGCGTGTTCCCTTCTCGGGAAGGTACGAGAGCGTGATCGCCACCCTCTGCGAGAACCTCGACTCCCTGGACGAGCCCGAGGCGCGGGCTGCCATGATTTGGATCGTAGGAGAGTACGCCGAGAGGATCGACAACGCCGACGAGCTGCTGGAGAGCTTCCTGGAGGGATTCCACGATGAGAGCACCCAGGTGCGCTGGGACGGGGTGGGGGGCACATCCCCCATACGATGGTGGGGTCCGGCCGCCAGCAGGACCAGCTGGTTGAGGGGTAACACTGACAAAACTTGTGCTAATCAAAGTGTAACGAAGCATTTGGGCGCGAAGGTGTTTTCCCTGCAGGTGCTGGGGGCAGTGGTGTCCCACAGCAGCTTTGGGTGAGGATGTGGCCCATGAAATGCCACCACGGTGGTGTCCCAAGCACCTTCCTTGCTTAATAGTTGGGAAGGACCACTTGGTTGTCTGGATATTCCTCTATGCCGGGACAGGATCAGCCCTTCGGAGCTGGAAAATGGAGTCAGACGGCTGAAATGAGCAGAGGGAGCGGTGCCTACTTGTTCTTGCTGGGGCAGCTGTGGCCAGTGGTTTTGCCTGTGGAATTTGGGAGGGGGGTGTCCATCTATGGAAACTTTCTACAACCCCCTGTTGCAAAACACCGTGAAACTAAGTCATGGTGAACAGGGGAAAGTCTATAAATGCAAAATAGCAAAGCCAGCAATGCTGGATGCCCCATCTCAGGTCGAAAGGGACTGTTGGAGGGAAATCGCTGCTGCTTATCCTCATAAAAGTCAGAGGATGCTCTGGCCTTTACCCTTGTGGGACCGTGTAACCCAGTCCCGAGACCTTGCCCAGTAACCTCGGTGTCAGCCTGCAGCTCTGAGGGGCCGAGAGTGCGGTAATCGGCTTGAAACGGGCTGCGGACCTGTCTGGGAGCCACGCAGGGTGCCCTGACACTTGTCACCACCGTTTAAGCAGTCCCTGTGTGATCAGTCCCTCGAAAGGCAGGTTCAGCTTATATCCTGGCAGCACGTACGGGGAAAATCCCTGTATTCCTGCACAGAAATGGTGTGATTTGTCTGTCTGTCTCTCCCTAACCCTCTTTGCCTGCCTGCAGGTTCAGCTGCAGCTGCTGACGGCCATCGTGAAGCTGTTTTTGAAGAAGCCCACCGAGACGCAGGAGCTGGTGCAGCAGGTGCTGAGCCTGGCCACGCAGGTGGGTCACGGCTCCTGCGCCAGGAAAGAGCTTCCGTGGGTTTCGCCTTCCCCTCGCAAGGCAGCGGGAACGGTTTGGGAATGCAGCACCCGGGAGAGGAGGCAGATAATGGGAGCTCAATTCTGGAAAAACTGATATTTCATCCCGGAGAGGGCACAGTCTCCCGTAGCAGAGGAGGGCATCTTGTGCTGTTCGCCTGCTAAGGCTGGTGCAGCCAGGTGGTGTGGCCTCTGCAGCGGAGGTGTGACATAAATAGCTTTAACTTTTATCCCCACGATCCCTCTTAATACCACAGCAAGGCTTAGATGGGGCCGAGATGCTCTGAAGTAGCTGCAGCTTCCCCTGCCCGATGGCTTCGGCGCTAACCCCCGTACTTCCCGCACTGTATCCCGACACCCCCGGCCTGCGGGCCCGTGGCTACATCTACTGGCGCCTGCTCTCCACCGACCCCGTGGCCGCCAAGGAGGTGGTGCTGGCCGAGAAGCCCCTCATCTCCGAGGAGACGGATCTGATCGAGCCGACGCTGCTGGACGAGCTGATCTGCTACATCGGGACGTTGGCCTCCGTCTATCACAAACCTCCCAGCGCCTTCGTGGAGGGGAGCAGAGGGGTCGTGCACAAGAGTTTGCCCCCCAGAACAGGCTCGTGAGTATCTTCTCCCCTCCTCAGGGTGATTCCCCGCCCCACACGGGGACTTCCAGGGCTGGATCCGTACGATGGGCAGGTCGGATGCCGAGCCAAGCGGCTGTGGGGCTGCCGCAGCCACGCACGGCGCCGTGCGGAGTTGGCTGCATCCGCTGCGCTCTGAACTGGGATCCCCTTTCCCGAGGGGAGGTGTTCCCTGGTGGGAACGGGGCTGTATGGATTCCATACTGTCCTTAGAAGGCTGAAGGAGCGATCTCTGAACCGAAGTGGGCTGTGATCTCGATGGGAGCCGTGCTGGGGCGGGGGTGTCTCTCTGAACGCTCGCTGCAAAGCCCGCCTGGGTGAACTTGTGTCTCCGGCGAGATCTGTGGGCTCAGCCGGACATCCTCAGGATCTCATGTCTTTCCCTCGCCGTTCCCTCTAGGAGCGAGAGCGCCGAGAGCCCTGACGCAGCCCCCTCGGGAGTGCAGGCGACGGAGCAGCCGGCCGTCATCCCCACTCAGGGCGACCTGCTGGGTGACCTGCTGACCCTGGACCTGGGACCGCCGGTGAGCGGACCTCCCATCGCCACCTCCTCCGTGCAGATGGGCGCCGTGGACCTCCTCGGAGGTGGCTTGGACAGCCTGGTATGTCACAACCCCGCGCGTTCTTTTCCTTGCCCGGCTTCCCTGGCAGCATTGTGCTGGGTTTGATGCTCACTCGTGTCTGGAGATCCTCAGGATGGGACAGGCTTGTCTCCACCCGGGCTAGTCCTTTCCTCCTGCGGCTGGTGATGATGGAGGGGCACTGCACCCTAATTTATCTTGTCGTCATCGGATGGCCGGAGCGGGGCAGGGGGTTAGTGCTCCTGAGTGCCTCTTTTCTCGGTACATGAGGTCTGTGTAGATGCTCCCGCTGTCCGTGCGGTGCTGCGGGGCTGACCGCTCCTCCTGGGTCCCCCGCTGAACCCCACAGCTGTGTGAAACGGGGATGTGCCCCGAACTGCTGTGGGGCTGGGCCAAGACATGCCATGTCCCGGCCCTTGGGGTGCTTTAACCGGTGTTTCCCGCCTCGGGACATCTGGAGGTGACAGCTTGTCCTCCTGGGAACGCAAACCGAGAAGCGGTTTGGCTGCAGGGGGAGGAGGGATGAAAACCTCCCTGGTTGGGACCGCCTGCCCCATAGATGCTGGCGATCTTTGGGGCTCCCCAAAGGAAAAGTTTGGAGTTTTCTCCACTACTCGTAAAATCCAGCAGATATTCCCTGAGGGGAAGCAGCATCGCTGGCTCTTTGCCTGCTGCCTCTCCTGGTCTGTAATCCAAGTGCCGCCCTGGCTCTTGGCTGGGTTTGCAGGATTTGGGAACAGGCTGGCAATGACTGTGGGGACAAGAAACCTCCCGGTCACGCTCTGTCCCCTGGCTCCGGAGCAGTCAGGGGCAGAGGGACGGGTGGGCGGTGAGGCAGGACTAACCTCTCTTCCCTCCTCCCCTTCTCTTGTCTCTCTGTTTTTTGTCTCTTTCTCTCTCCTGGCTTGTCTCTGCATGCGGCTGGCTCTTCTCTCCGCCTTGCCTGCTTCCGCTTGGAGATGGGGGACGAGTCGGAAGGGGTATGGATCAGCCCTTTTCTTAGCCCTCTACGCCGTGCGGAGCCCCGCCGCCTGCGCCCGCCCCC